TCGACATGGCCATGTCGAATTTAGCGCTACTCCCCTCGTCGGGGAGGAGTACAGAAGTCGAATTAAAGAGACCTCTATGTCGAACTAAATAGCATCGCAGTGTGGACGGGTGCAGGGTTAATTCGATGTAACGGCGCTAACTTCGACATAAACGCCTAGTGTAGACCAGGCCTGGGTTAGCCTAAAAGGGGTAAAAAACAAAGGTGATGTCATGCTAGGAGTCTACTACAGGCCACATAACAGATGGAAGAGGTGGATGAGGCTTTTTTTAAACAACTAACAAAATAATCCAAAACCCAAGATTTGGTGGTGATGGGGGACTTCAACTATCCAGATATATGTTGGGAAAATAACACAGCGGGGCACAGACTATCCAATAAGTTCTTGGACTGCATTGCAGACAACTTTTTATTTCAGAAGGTTGAAAAAGCTGGGGGGAAGCTGTTCTAGATTTGATTTTAACAAATAGGGAGGAACTCGTTGAGAATTTGAAAGTGGAAGGCAGCTTGGGTGACAGTGATCATGAAATCATAGAGTTCATAATTCTAAGGAAGGATAGAAGGAAGTACAGCAAAATAGATACAATGGATTTCAGGAAGGTGGATTTTGGTAAACTCAGAGAGCTGACAGGTAAGGTCCCATGGTAATCAAGACTGAAAGGAAAAACAACTGAGGAGAGTTGGCAGTATTTCAAAGGAACACTATTAAGGGCCCAAAAGCAAGCTATTCTGCTGGGTAGAAAAGATAGAAAATGTGGCAAAAGACCACCTTGGCTTAACCACAAGATCTTGCATGATCTAAAAAATAAAAAGAAGTCATATAAAAAATGGAAACTAGGACAAATTACAAAGGATGAATATAGGCAAACAACACAGGAATGCAGGGGCAAGATTAGAAAGGCAAAGGCATAAAATGAGCTCAAACTAGCTACAGGAATAAAGGGAAACAAGAAGACTTTTTGTCAATACATTAGAAGCAAGAGGAAGACCAAGGACAGGGTAGGCCCACTGCTCAGTGAGGAAGGAGAAACAGTAACAGGAAACTTGGAAATGGCAGAGATGCTCAATGACTTCTTTGTTTTGGTCTTCACTGAGAAGTCTGAAGGAATGCCTAACATAGTGAATGCCAATGGGAAGGGGGTAGGTTTGGAAGATAAAAAAAAAGAACAAGTTAAAAATCACTTAGAAAAGTTAAATGCCTGCAAGTCACCAGGGCCTGATGAAATGCATCCCAGAATACCCAAAGAGCTAATAAAGGAGGTATCTGATCCTCTATCTATTATCTTTGGAAAATCATGGGAGACAGGAAAGATTCCAGAAGACTGGAAAAGGGCAAATATAGTGCCCATCTATAAAAAGGGAAATAAAAACAACCCAGGAAACTACAGACCAGTTAGTTTAACTTCTGTGCCAGGGAAGATAATGGAGCAAGTAATTAAGGAAATCATCTGCAAACACTTGGAAGGTGGTAAGGTGATAGGGAATAGTCAGCATGGATTTGTAAAGAACAAATCATGGCAAACCAATCTGGTAGCTTTCTTTGATAGGATAACGAGTCTTGTGGATAAGGGAGAAGCGGTGGATGTGGTATACCTAGACTTTAGTAAGGCATTTGATAAGGTCTTGCATGATATCCTTATCAATAAACTAGGCAAATACAACTTAGATGGGGCTACTATAAGGTGGGTGCATAACTGGCTGGATAACTGTACTCAGAGAGTAGTTATTAATGGTTCCCAATCCTGCTGGAAAGGTATAACAAGTGGGGTTCTGCAGGGGTCTGTTTTGGGACAGGCTCTGTTCAATATCTTCATCAACGACATAGATATTGGCATAGAAAGTAAGCTTATTACATTTGCACATGATACCAAACTGGGAGGGATTGCAATGGCTTTGGAGGGCAGGGTCATAATTCAAAATGATCTGGACAAATTGGAGAAATGGTCTGAGGTAAACAGGATCAAGTTTAATAAAGACAAATGCAAAGTGCTCCACTTAGGAAGGAAAAATCATTTTCACACATACAGAATGGGAAGAGACTGTCTAGGAAGGAGTACGGCAGAAAGGGATCTAGGGGTTATAGTGGACCACAAGCTAAATATGAGTCAACAGTGTGATGCTGTTGCAAAAAAAGCAAACCTGATTCTGGGATGCATTAACAGGTGTGTTGTGAGCAAGACACGAGAAGTCATTCTTCCGCGCTACTCTGCGCTGGTTAGGCCTCAACTGGAGTATTGTGTCCAGTTCTGGGCACCGCATTTCAAGAAAGATGTGGAGAAATTGGAGAAGGTCCAGAGAAGAGCAACAAGAATGATTAAAGGTCTAGAGAACATGACCTATGAAGGAAGGCTGAAAGAATTGGGTTTGTTTAGTTTGGAAAAGAGAAGACTGATAGGGAACATGATAGCAGTTTTCAGGTATCTAAAAGGGTGTCATAAGGAGGAGGGAGAAAACTTGTTCACCTTAGCCTCTAAGGATAGAACAAGAAGCAATGGGCTTAAACTGCCTCAAGGGAGATTTAGGTTGGACATTAGGAAAAAGTTCCTAACTGTCAGGGTGGTTAAACACTGGAATAAACTGCCTAGGGAGGTTGTGGAATCTCCATCTCTGGAAATATTTAAGAGTAGGTTAGATAAATGTCTATCAGGGATGGTCTAGACAGTATTTGGTCCTGCCATGAGGACAGGGGATTGGACTCGATGACCTCTTGAGGTCCCTTCCAGCCCTAGAATCTATGAATCTATGTCGACCCTATGCTGTAGTGTAGACCAAAAACTTTCAGGATCAGCAATTTAAATTCTCTTTATGTGCATTTCCTTCTAGAGTTCACAGATCTGAGGCTGGTGAGCAGCAGTGACTGTGCTGGGCGGCTGGAGGTTTTCTACAATGGGACGTGGGGCAGTATTTGCTCCAATCAGATGACTGGCGTCACCCCGACAATTGAATGCAAACAGCTGAACTGTGGAGATGGAGTGCTAACTGCAGGAGAATTTCAACGTGGGGAAGGTTCTGGTCCCACATGGCTGGATCATGTTAAGTGCACTGAGCAGCACAGTTCCCTTTGGCAGTGTCCCTCAGGCCCATGGAAATGGCAGTCATGTGATTACCGATCAGAAGAGACCCATATTATTTGCAATGGTTCTTCAAATGGTAATTATAAAAAAATTATAAAAGAAGCGGGTCCTACACAGTACAATCCACTAGTAAGACCCCAGAAAAGCCTCTCAATAGAAGCATAATTTGTACAGCTCTGTGGCTATTGATCCTTTTGGGATGAACAATCAGAGATGGGTCCAGGCTGTGAAGTTGGGGTCAGGATCAGAATTCCCCACAAGTCTGTGTGTGAGGATGTGTGTGTGAGAGAGGGGTGTTGTGGGTGAGTTTCAGTTCCATTTTGAGCCCAACTGTAATAACAATATTTCTCTTCTATGGATTTCCATACTAATGTGGGTGATTTTCAGCTGATTAATCTGTGAACATTTGAACCCCTTGTAAGGGGTTAGGGAGAAGCATGGAGAGAGACAGAACAGACTCAGATATACAAAAGCAAACACAGCAGCAGAAGCTATGCATAAAGATTTCAGCATCCATAATAAAAGCTGAATAGCAAATCCATAAATGATAAAATACACCAATTTTTCGATTTTCCCTTATAAAGTGTTGAAATTAATGGTTTAATATGCCGATAAACCCTATTATCATCTGCTGTAGGGTGACCAGATGAGATGAAGAAAATATCGGGACACCGGGGGGGGGGGGGGAGGTGGGGGGAAGCTGAGTGCTGCTGGCCAGCCAAGCAAAAAAAAAAAAAAAGCCGAGTGATCCCAATGGCGCAAAAATATCGGGACAAAAATCGGGACGTGGGACAAACAGCTCAAAATCGGGACGGTCCCGATTTTATCAGGACGTCTGATCACCCTATCTGTCTCATGCACACTACCCAATTTGTTCTCTCAGAATTTTATTTCCATAAGAAGAAAAGGGAAACCATCTCAGACACCGTTTGCCAAACGTCCACACACAGAAACTCTGACAATGGATGTTCTCCCATGTAACAAACACGTCACCTGCCCCTTACTTCAGACTCTAACTCTCTTTTCCATTCCCTTTGCAGGTGTGATGAAGACAACAGCTTCACTGATTAGAAGAGGTAAAATATCCCCCTTCCCTCAAGGATTAAATTTACCTGGTGTCAGGGTCACAGAGGGATGAGCTGGAACCTCCAGCCTGAGCGAATGAGCTTCTTTACCCCGAGTGTGAAATCGAAGGGGTGAATGACACATGGGTGGGAGCTGCAGGCCGTGCTGAGCAGGACGATTCCTGTCTATTGGTTTTAGCTGCCAGAGCAGGGCCCATGATTTAAAGAGCAGCCTGTGAGCTCCCCCCATGGTGCACAAACTGTGTCCCAACCCGTTACCCTGCTGTCCTGGGCCGTGCAATGAGAGACTGGGGAGAAGATTGAGAGGTGACTTGATAAGGTATCTTCACAGGGAGAAAATACCAAAATGAAAGGGTTCTTTAATTGAGTAGAAAGAGGCATAACAAGAACCACTGGCTGCAAGCTGAAGCAAAACAAATTAAAATTATAAATTAGGTGCAAATTTTTAACAGTGTGGGTGATTAATCACTGGAACAAACTACCAAGGGAAATTATGGATTCTCCATCTCTTGATGTCTTCAAATCAAGAATGAATGCTATGGCAGATATGGCAATTTCCTGCATATCATTGGGAGGCCTTATTGAATTAAATTTAAATATGTTTGGGGTCCATTGTATTAAATGCAAAGGTTATGTATTACCATGGGCCGGGATTGCATATAAGCTATTTGAGGGGAGGTGTGATATGAGTTCTGGGAGTTCAAAGGAGTATATTGAAAATTTGCTAGACAAGAATGGACTTTTGGGAAAATAAGTGTGAGGTGGATTTCCTGGGGAATCCCTAGGGAGTGGTTAATGCAAATTGCACCACCGTCAGTTATGTAAAAATCCAGTCTTTTGAAGCTACGCCCTGAGGAGTAGGTCATTGTCTGTGGATTACCTGTGTAAAGAAATAGCTGTACCACCCAACCTGGATTTGGGTTCTGAATCTGAGACAGTTGTGAACTTGTAACTCTGGAGAAAACCCATTTGTGGTTGTGAAGGACTGGCACCTACCAGAATCTGAGGTTTGAGTTGGGGTGGTCTCTGGTAAGCTTTTTAGCTTGTGTGTAGGTTCTTTTATTGCTCTAATGTGTTTTCTTTGTAATGCTTTTACCTTAAGAATAAATGTGCTTGCTTGGAAGGAGATGCATGGTAACTTACAACTGCAGGCAATATACTGGGAATAACCTCTAGAGAGAAAGCGAAGCATATACACTGGCCTTTAAACAGTCTGACTTGCTGGGAATATCACCACATAGCCAGAGAACTGTGAAGCCTGGAAAAATTCCGGTCAGAAGGGATGGAGGAATCTGCCCAAGAGAGGTGACAGCTGAGGAGCTGGGGGCCTTGAGTGGGTGCCCTTGGTGGCCCACAGAGGGGGAATACAAGTACAGTTGTCCTGAACTGTGACAGACATACCTTAGCCAAACACAGGTTATTCTCCTTAATAGAGGGGTAATTAGATAAAATTCAGTGGCCTGTTATATATACAGGCCATCAGACAAGATGAAATAATGGGTCCTTTTGGCCTTGAACTCTGTAAATCTGTGACACTCGGGGTCCTCAGCATGTCACAGGATCTTCTGCAAGCCACTGTTTGGCAAACTCTTTTCCCACAGAGCATCGCTGTGGGTGCTGGTTTAGATCAGAGCTGTATGGAGGGGAAATAGAAAGAATGTGGTGCCACACAGACTGTCATAAACATACAGCTAAGGGTAGCATACAATCCCTCCTGAGTAGCTGTATTGACTTGCCTTACCTGTAAGGGGTTAATCAGTTCAATTAACCTAGTTGGCACCTGACCAGAAGGACCAATGGGGAAAGAAGATACTTTCAAATCTGGGAGCGGGGGGTGGGGGAGAGGTTTTGTTTCTGCTCTTTGTTTGTTCCCTCTCTGGATGGAGAGAGGGTCCAGGCAGGAAAAAGCCATCTCCTGGAAACATACCTGAAATGAGCATCTAAAATTACAAAAATTGTAAATAAGGAAAGGAAATGAGTTAGATTATCTTTTGTTTTAGCTTGTGAATTTTCCCTATGCTAAGAGGTAATTTCATTCCTGTTTTGTAGCTGGAAAGCAGAGTCAGAGGGGAATCCTCTGTGTTTTAAATCTTTTTGTTTACCCTGTAAAGTTACCTTCCATCCTGATTTTTCAGGTGTGATTCTTTTACTTTTTTTTTAAATAAAATTCTTCTTTTAATAACCTGATTGATTTTTAGTGTTCTAAAAACCAAGGGGTTTGGTTTATGCTCACATTGTAGCCAATTGGTTAGTATATTATTTTCAAGCCTCCCCAGGAAAGGGGGTGAAGGGGCTTGGGGGAATATTTTGGGGAAATAGGGACTCCAAGTGGTCTGTTTCCTGAATTTTTTTCTAAATCACTTGGTGGTGGCAGCAATACCATCCAAGGACAAGGAAAGGATTTGTGCCTTGGGGAAGTTTTTAACCTAAGCAGGTAGAAATAAGCGTAGGGGGTCTTTCATGCGGGTTCCCATATCTGTACCCCAGAGTTCAGAGTGGGGAGGGAACCCTGATACAGGCCAACCAGTGTGACTCTAGAATAAGTTTATTCAGCCCCTGCCCACGGTGCCCCTGACTCTAGTCACTGCTCCCTCACTTTAATATGCACTAACATTACTCACAAAGTTAGGGGACAAGCTCCTGAACACAGCCCTCTGCTCTGTGGTAATGGTCGCTCTCAGTCATCCCTGACTGGCTAAGTCCACTGATCTACAACTGAGTTTCACATATGAAAGGGATGTACAGATTTCACACCCACAGAGCCATGCTTGGCCTGAGTTGGTGGTGCGGTTTCCAGACACTGCAGATCAGGGGTGGGTTATGGGCCAGACGAGTTTAGAGAAATGGCAAAATGAGCTTTTTCACAGTGATGGAAAGTTTAGAAAGTGGGTGATAGAACAAATTAAAGTATCATTTATCTGTGTAATTAGTATAACAACAAAGTGCCATGGGCAAATCTTCCTCTGACATAAACCCCACTGCTAGCCACCTCTTCTCAAATCTCCCACAACCTTCATTTGAGTTTCTGTTTGAGGCTCCTTTGAGCAATTTACAGTTATATCAGGTCCTTGAAATGTGTCAGACAAATGTCACATGAATTAAATTCCTCTGACACTAAGGTTTGGGGGGAGGGACTTTTGGTTTCTCATCCCCCTTGGGGTGTCAGTACCTCATGCTGTTTGTACCTGGTGTATAATTTATTTCTCTATTCAGTGGAGAACACTGAATACTCATTACCATTAATTCTTGCCTCTTTTTCAGAAGCTCCTGCACTGCCTGGAGATGTCACACAGGAGGATTATGATGATGTCAAAGAAGTTTCTGACCCCAATGATGACCACGGCCCTGGGCAGTGTGCCCGGGAAGTCACTGGAGCTCCAGGAGAGAGTGACAGGAACAGGGATTCACAGACAGGTGAGTGGGGAAATGTACTTTTGCCAATCCTTGCAGTTTATTGCTAGATTCATGATATCTAGTATTTTTGAAAGTTCAAACTCCAGGAGACATGAGAATCTCTGCTTTAATTTTTAAAAAAGCAAGTTTTCTAGCCTTGATGGTTGCAGAAAGAAGCTTCAGAACAGGGCCGGCTCTAGGTTTTTTGCTGCCCCAAGCAAAAAATTTTTTGGCTACCCCCCACCACAGCCCTGGGCTCCCCCCCCCCCCCGTGCTGCCCCAGCCCTGGGCTCTCCCCCTCCACCCGCACCCCCCTGCCGCCCCAGCTCTGCCCCCCCCCCCCCCGCTGCCCCAGCCCTGGGTCAGTGGTAACTCGCTCCCAGGGTGGGTCATTCAGCAGGAATTTTGGATGTGCAGAGAACACAGACAGAAACGGTTCCCATATGGTTACAGAACTGCAGTAAAGTGGAACAATTTTCATCTTGTGTGATTGAAGGATATCTGGATGCATATTATAAGACTGTCCTACATAAATGAGGAAAAGTTGAGGTGCCTTTATTATTCTTTTGTTCCACTCGTTGTTTCTATGGGGAATTTGTCAAAATCACTGTCTTCCTTTTAAACAAATAAAACTTAAAAAAAAAAAGATGGCAATGGCTGTTGAAAATAGCAATTCCCGTCCTAATAACCACTGGGAAGCATTTCTTGCTCAATTTTTTCCTACTTTTTCTACAGCAAGTTACAGTGGATCAGTATATTTCATTTGGGAGAAATGAAGTAACAGCTGCCCAAATTGAGCTTGAGCACTCCTGAATTTTGAGGGTGTTCAAATCTGGAAGGCAGGTGCTAGATTCCCTTTCTGAATATTAGCTAAATCTGGAAAGGAAAAGTCAATTTCTGCTTCCATGGCTCAGAAGTGGAAATCCTACCAGTGCCTGGTACTGTACCTAAAGCTGCCCAGGTCCTCTAGTAGAGCCTCCCCTCCCTTACTTTTCATTTTAAATTCTAGTGGGATCCACATACCTCCCTTGCTAGGCTTCAGATATAGAGGTGCACTGTCCATTTAGTCCACCCAATTCTTTCTTTGGGGGCTGCAAGGTGAGGTCACACCAGTATCCCTAATCCAGTCTGGGGATTTCTCAAAGGGATATCTGGGCCAAAGCCTTCTACTCCTTGGGCATACTTGTTCCCCTGTTCACAGTGCCACCCTGTTCTAGCAGTGAGCTCTCCATTCACAGCAAGCTGCAGCATGAGGTCTCAGCTACCTCACTCCCTCCCCCTCCCTTTCCTGTTGATCGCTACCAAGGGAATGCTGGGAAATATAGTTCTTTCCCTGCTCCAGGCTTGCTCTATAGGCAGGGAGCTAACCAAGGAACAATAGCTCCCAGGGCCTCCTGTTGGTTCTCAGCTCCCATGCTGGATCCTTGCCACCCCTGCAAATGTGCCGCCCCAAGCACCTGCTTGCTTTGCTGGTGCCTAGAGCCGGCCCTGCTTCAGAACATGAACTGTGTTTCACCTAAAGGCTCAGAAACCAGAGGACAAAAAAAAAGACCAAAAAAAGTATTTTTAATCTAATGATTTTTAAGCAAATCTCATGACATGTTGAGGCCTGACTCCTGTCAGTGACTGAGACATAGGTAGTTGTGTCCAATAGTTAGACCCAGAATCAGGCCCAGTCGTTAGAGCTGGACTCAGAGCTAAAGTCAGAAATTGGAGCCCAGGGGCAGAACTGGAGTCAGGAATTGGAGCTGAGGGTCGGGACCAGGTAACCTGGAGTGAAGCAAGGCAGGGATAAGGCTGAGGTAAAGCAGGAACAGGAGTGGGAACAAGGCAGGAGCTTTGGCAGCCATGGGTGAATGCTATGAGTAGCTGCTGGACTGCAGCGCCGCTGGACTAATGAGCCACTCTGAGGACTCTTCCAGCCAATCAGGCAGATTATTAGGTTCTCTGGAGATTGGCTCTGCTGCAGGCCCCGCATCCTGTCAACTCCTAATTTTTGAACACTTGGGGTTGGCAAAGCTGGAAATGTCTGTGTTTCCCAGTGGTCCATGGGACCAATGTCTGGGTGGGAATATGGATTATGCAGCAAGGAAGTGACCCTGGCCAAAGTACTGTTTGTGAGGACAAAGTTACACGGGTGCGTTTGCAGGATCACAGCCTGTGTGTCTTACCCCAAACAAGGTGTCAGTGCCCTGGATGGTAATGGGAAGAGCAGGGCCCTGCGGTGGGGTTAGTTAGAGATCTGGCATCAGGTTTGAAATCACTTTCTTCAGTATGTAAATGGCTCCATTAACCTTTTATGAGAGCAACTCACAGTCTGGGGCTGAGGGCTGAGCTCCCACTTTGCACCTCAGAGGAAAGTGGTTTAGGATGAAATGTGCATTTCTTTGTTCTTGTTGAGAGAAACATTCAAACACATATTGTGTGGGCAGTTGAGATCTATGATGTCCCCTGCTTTTTGGCTTCTTGCCCTTGAATGTCCTGTGGGATAGAAGTGCCCCAGCCTGCTCCACCCCACCTGGTTTCAGCTGGTGTATGTACCCTTAGGGACTATACCAACCATCAGAAGTTAAAGCAACCCCTACTGGAGCATCAGGGAGGCGTCACCAGCTCACTGACATTCCCACACTACTCCTGCAAAAGGCAGGTCTCAGCACAGAGTGAATGCATTCCCAGATGTTTTCTTTGTAGGCTATAGAGAGATAATGGATTAAACTTGTCAGAGCCCCAGTCACAGGAACAGAGGGGATGTGTCACAGCCTATACCGTAGGGAGCTCACCCATGTGATGTGAGTGCACATGGGTGTAGAATGGTTACGTTGACTGTAATATGCCCCCTTGTTTATTTTCAGATTGGAGTCTGCACTTGCTAAGAAGTGAAGAGGTCTCTGAAGCTGAGAGAAATGCCCTGTCCCTGCTTCCTGGAGACCCAGGTTATGATGATGTTGAAGATGGGGTCTCTGGGACATCACTATAAGAATGCTGAGTTCAGATCAAATGTCCTGTGAGGACATAAATGTTGTATGATTGGGCTATTCTTCTCTCAAATGCTTTCTGGGCCATCGGGGCATCAGAAACAATCCCTACCTGGGAACTAGTTCATACAGCTTTTATATTGGAGTTTTGTCCGCTGGCAAGAAATATGTGTGACTGAGACAGGGTCTGTGGTTTCCCCTGTAATTCCCCATTGATCAGACTGTCTGGAACTGTCTTGCTTTTTTATTCCTGCTGTTTTATTTCTAACATTTCTTCCCTGTGAATTTTTATTTTTTCTTAGTAAACAATTTTTGAAAGACTGTTCCAGGGCTGATGCTTCTCTGACGAGGTGTATTGGGCAGCTCCCTGAGACCATTGGGGGAAAGATTGAGACTGAACCACCAAAAAATTATAATGGTAAAATGTCACCCCTCGGGTATTGCAGGCTTTTGGACAGGGTGTTGCATTGAGAATGAACATTCTGCCAGGTGTGTGGTAATGGCGAGACACCTAGCAACAGAATATTCCTCACTCCAGAGATAGCCCTAACCCCCAATCCAGACTTTCCTTTGAAATTCAGGAAGATAAATAGGATGCTATTTACAGGTATCTTAATGCCCATACACACACAATTAGATAGCAGTGAAAATATGCCCCTATCCTTTCCTCTTCTCTTCTATACAAATTCATGTGCCATGCCCATCATTCTGGCATCAGAGCACCTTCCAATGATTTACTTTCAGTGTACGTTGTCCATTCTTTATTCCTCCCCTGGGACAAAAACACATGGATTTTTTATGGAGGGTCATGGATGGTTATTGGTGAGTTTATTTTATGATGTGATATGGGCTTACATTAGCAAAAGCAGACCGAGGAACCCCACAAGTGGATCGGAAAGAAGTTTCAGGTGATTTTTTAGTTCTTGTGGGATTTTGTTCTAGAGTCTTTGATCAGCCCCAAAGAAAACTGTCTCCTGCACAAATGAGCTTTCCCCTTGCAGGAGACAGCTCCTTTGTGTCTAAGGCTTGGTCTACACTACCCCCCCTAATTCGAACTAAGGTACGCAACTTCAGCTACGTGAATAACGTAGCTGAAGTTCGAAGTACCTTATTTCGAATTAGTTCAAACTTACCTTGGTCCACACTCGGCAGGCAGGCTCCCCCGTCGACT